CAACCCCTTCTGCCAGGGCCTAAGCTGGCCTCTCACTGGCACTTCTGCTGTGCTCTGCTGCTTGGATGCCCCAGGTTTCCTGCAGCACCCTTCTGCCTCAGAGCTAGCTAAGCAAGGGATCTCTGAAGCCCTTGGGTCTGTGAGCTACATGAGCCTCCTCTAAGCTGCAGGCAGGTCTCAGGCATTTGATCTCAGAGACAGAAAAGCAGCCCAATACAGAAGACAACCCAACTTCTTTTTTGGACTGAAATACTGCAAGTGGATCTAATCATAAATAATGAAGAAAGGAGATATGAGTAACATCAGCAAATGTCTCACATGTGGGGTAAGTGGAAAAGTTCAGTTTTCATGCCAGGAGTATTTTTTTCTGCTCTTGCAACCACTAGGTTCAAGTAGATTCTAGAAATAGAAGAAGAGAACAGTATGTGAAAAAAATGCACACATGCATACAATGTATTTGGATGCCAACTTTCTGAGAGCTTATTGTCACAGTGCACTAACCAGGCTGGCTTGAGAGGTGGTTAGATCCACAGACACAGAACAGAGTCTGCTTTACTGTGCTTCTGTAGATGTCTTGTTCTTTATTAGTCAGGTACAATTTTTAATACTAAACTAAATTAGGACTGTGGCAAGCAGAAGTCCATGCTGAGGTAGCTAGCCAGGTTACTTGGGGCTGCACAGAATGTGTCTGCCTGTTCCTGTGAAGCTAGGGTGACAAGATGTGGAAATCCCTGTCATGGGATTTAAAGAAACACAAAAAAATTACTCCCAGAACTGTCACTAGAAAACACCCTCCCAAACCCCAGGAGACTATCTTTTTGTTAACCCATGTTCTGATTCAGGCAAGGCATCTGCCCAGCCAGCCACACAGACAGCTGGGACCTCAATGGCTGTTGAAAACCAGATTCAGGACAAACCAGGATAAAACTGGTTTCAGTCATTAAGAACCTCATATGGAGCTTCCCTTCACACCAGGTTCATCACCTCCTGCATGGAGTGGGCTGTGCTCTCCCCTGACTCTGTTGCATGGAACAGTGGCTCCCAGACTGTGGCCAGCCCTATGACTTGGCTTTGTCAAGCAGCAGTTTGGTCCACTTGGAGTGCAAACACCAGGCCAGGCTGACTTAGTAACTTGTCTGTGCCAAAAGATAACCATGAGCTAGATGCTGGACACACCAGACTTATTAAGAACCACCCTTGGCTGCCTAGCACACTCATAAGGGATAAACTGACTAAGTGTGCTAATGAAAAGTCACCACCAGTGTAATTATCAAAGTACATTCAGAGGCACATGAAGAACCAAGACCACATCAGATGAACCAGGCCCAGAAGCTCACCAGACACTCCAGCTGCCCCTCATCCAGATCCTATGGTTGGGTAGACACTCTACTCTGGGAACAGTGGTTCACATCTGCCACCATCTTATCACCCCACCTAGTGAATGTGTCCAGGGCTGGCAGCAAAAATTCTGACTCTCTCCCTTCTGCCCACATGAGGGTGGCCTCTCTGTCCAGACCTGTGGGCAGTGAGCAGCTCTGCACAGCTGTGATCTTGTCTGGCCACTCCATCAGTTCCTGTGTGACTGGTACTTCTGTTTCAAGTCGTGTGACCCTGCTAATCATTTCCTACCCATTATGTAACCTGTATACTATTGTGTAAAGTGTGATGTTGGCTTGAGTTTTGTAGATGTTATTAAGATGGCCTGGGTTGCAACTCCAAGTGAAATTAAGAATGTTCATTGAGGGCCAGCCAGATAGCTCAGTGGATTAAAGCATTTGCTTAGGCAGACGCAGGGACTGGGGTCTGATCCCCAACAGGCCATGCCGGCCCCACCCTTGGGGTTGTGCGGAGACAGCAATTGAGACTGGGCATGGTGGTGCACATAATCCCAGTGCTTAGGATGCTGAAAAACAGGAGGATCACTACAAGTCCAATCTGTGTAGTGAAACCCTGTAGACCCTGTACTAAATACATAAAAAAGGAAGAATATCCAGGGGCCAGCCAAATAGCTCAATGGATTAAAGCACCTGCAAGTAGGCACAGGGGCCGGAGGTTCGATCCTCTGGCCTGTCATGCCAGCCCTGCCCCCCGGGGCGCACTGAGACAGCAATTGAGACTGGGTGTGGTGGTGCGTGCCTGTAATCCCAGCTCTTGGGAGGCTGTAAACAGGTGGATCACTAAGAGTTGGCTCTAGTAGTGAGACTCTTAAACATCCTGTGGACCTTTCCCTAAATACAAAAAAAAAAAAAAAAAAAAGGGAATATTCAGTGAGTTGAAGACAACAAAATGGATGTAGTGCTACTAGAGTTTTAAGGCAAAGACATCTGCTTCAGGGGTCCCAGCAGAGCAGGCTGGGCCACCTGTCCCATGACACCAACCAAAAAGAACAGTGGTCTAATCAGCACGGCCACATAGAAAAGGACAGAGGGGGCACAATATCAACTGCAAGAGACTGACAGCAACAATGGGATCTTATAGAAAAGGGCAGCAAAGACAAGGTTTGGGAGTTGACACAGCCAGCAAGGGTGGTAATGCTGGCCAAGCTCTGGTCTGGTTGGTAGTTATCTCTGGACTGAATCTTTAAGGTGGTTCCAGAGAGGTCCTCATCGCCGCACGTGAAAATTCAGTTCTCCTGAGATGACTGAATTCAGCAGAACTGAATGTTCTGCTTGTGGGGGCAAGGGGGTTTTCAGCACTACTCGGTCTTCAAGGCTGCAGGTTTAGGGCACCACTGGGTGTCACTCCAGGCATGCACCAATAAACTTCCTACACATCTGCCTGTTTGGCTTCTGACCCACACTGCACCTGGCCCATATATGGATTAAAGGAAGGCAGAACCTCACCTCTGATGAACCCAACCTGCTCTCCAGAAAGAAATAAAGCCATGCTCATTAACAAAAATCCTTCCTCTCTCCCCTTAATTTTACCTTCAGTACTGGAGACTCAACCTAAGACCCTTTTATTGAGCTACATTCCCAGTCCCTTTTATAAAATTTTGATGCAGGATCTCACTAAGCTGCCTAGGTTGGGTTCAAACTTGGGATGCTCCTACCTCAGCCTTGAAAAGGGGATTACAGCCATGCACTATCATACCCAACTTCTCCCTTAAAAGAACCCCCATTCTTGTTTGGATGGGACGCTGACCTGTAAATAATTTCTCCCAAGGTCTTCTTCTCTGGTCAAGTAACAACTTTCCTTTATGCATAAAAATTGGTTTTATAATGGTTCCATGATTCCAAGGAAAAAGGAGTTTGGGTCAGAAATTAGTTACAACATACAACTTGATATAGAAACAGGGTAGAGCATCTCCACAGCCGTTAACCTTCATAATTGTGGTGTACAGTGAAACATCAGCATAGCATGTACATTCTCAGAACTGCAAGTTAGCTCCAGGCATGAGCTGGACAAGCTACAAGTGTTTCCTACACTCCCCATTTTCATGCTAGAATCTTTTCAATAATCATGAGGGGAGTGCTCACTTCAGCAGCACATATACTAAAGTTGGAACAATACAGAGAAAATTAGCAAGGCCCCTGAACAAGGATGACATGAAAACAATCATGAAGGGAAACTCAGACACCTACAAGGGAAGAGCCCTTGCTCTGTATGTGATAGAACACAAAAGAAAACTGGAAGTGAAGCTCTTTAGAAGTTATTCCTCTAAGTGACAGCACATGAGGAAAATCAAAATCGTATATGTGTGCAGCCACAGTACTCAGGAACCTGAGGTAGGAGGTTCAGGACTTTGAGACCAGCCTTGGTACAAATTTAGACTGTCTGAATTTAAAGGGGCTGAACATGTAGATCAGCATTCTCTGGTTTAATGCTCTTAATCACAAAACAAAACTTTCTAGTATATATTTTAGGTACAAGGGTTAATAAAAAATATAGTGTAAAAATTTATTACAGTAAAAGATTCCTCCCAAAATCCTCACCTCCTCCTGAACACACTTATCCCATGGTTGTGGCCACCTTCAGAAGCAGTTCTGAAAGTCCCCATCTGTGTCTTTTTATGGCTGGCTTATTGTTTGGAATCAATTCAAACATTTATAGCAATTCCTGTTAAATAAAAACATAATGGGACCTGTGAGATAGCTCAGCAGACTAAATATCTGCTTAGGCAAGCATAGGGATCAGGGTTCCATGCCCACACCACATACCATGTGGGCTCCATACCTGGGCACACTGAACTGACCACTGAAACCATGGTACATGCCTGTAATCCCAGGACTTGGGAGGCTGAAAACAGAATCACTACAAGTCTAAGCTGTGTAGTGAGACCCTATGCCAAATACATTTTTAAAAAAAATGGCATGTCCTCATTCACCTGAGGCACCAGGCCTGGTACCTTGTGACTTCTTGCTTTTCCATAAGGTCAGAATTAACAGAGGGAGAAACATTTTGCATTGGTTCAGGACATGAGGCACCAAGAACAGCACAACTAATAACCCTCAGGAAAAGAGGACTCCAGAGATGCTTCAGAAAGTAGCAAGGAGATAGGATAAATATGCTCAAAGATGGGGGTGGAAGGGATATTTTAAAGGGACTGACAATAAGTAATAGAATTTTAAAGTGCAAACATTTACTATGATTTTTATAGTACTTGATAAAAGCTAAACATTAAAATGAGAAAAGAACTATACTTGAAAATTAGTACAAAATATTTAAAAATCAAGGGGCTCGAGAGATAGCTCAGTGGAATAAGTGCTTGCCTGGAAAACACACGGTCCTGAGTTCAATCCCTGGTGCCACCAAAAAATAGAATAGAATATTTAAAAATCAAACGGTGACAAGTTCACATTCAATAGAATCTGGCCTGTGTGAACTGAATATCTGCTGGAGTACCCCTAATCAGCAGAGCTAATAATCTGATTCACCATATGAAGCCCTGAACCAGATGATCACTATGGAGACAAACCCAAACTCACGAAGCCTGTGTTAGAGGAAGCTGGCATCCACCTTGGCTCCTTCCCGTGTGCCCGGCTCAGAGGGCTCCAGAAGATAACACAGCTTTACTCAAACCATCATGGTCTTTAGATGTGGTTTTCCTCTGCCAGACAGAGCTAAGCCACCATCCTTGAAGGAGAAATATATCAATAATCAACATAAAACCTGATGTGACTCTACATGAGTCTCATTAAGACATAAACTCAACAATTTTGCCACATCCTTACACCTCAAAGATAGTGATGCTTTCCATTTAAAACCATGGCACAGATGAGTAATAGTGGCACACACCCTTCCCAGCACTCAGAGACTAGCCTGCTTACACAGTGAGACCCTTGCTAAGAAAAAGAAAGACAGACAGAGCAATGAAAGAAAAAGGGAAGGAAGAGAAGGAAGAAAGGAAGAAAGGGAGGGAGGGAGGGAGGGAGGGAGGGAGGAAGGAAAAGGAAGCCATTATGATGAAATAAATCATTCCTCAAAGAATGATAAGAATCACTCTCGGGCCGAGGAGATGGCTCAGTGGAATAAGCACTTCCCTGGCAAGCGCAAGGGCCTGAGTTCAATCCCCGGTTCCGCAAAAAAATAAATAAATTAATTAATTAAATAAATAAATAAATAAAAGTGTTTTAAAAAAGAATCACTCTCATTGCCCTCTGTGATGGAGACAGCAGAGATCTCCATGCAGGATTAACCTGGCACTGAGTGATCACCCACATGCCCATAGATTCTTTGTACAGCACAGAAGTCTTGGAGGTGTTTAACCAGATTAGGAAAATCTGCAGGCCAGGCTGGACTAGATTACATGGCTACTGAGCTCCAGGGTGCTGAGGGCTGGACCCAAGCTAGAAGAGTCTGAGAGAACCTCGTGGGGACTCACAGACTACAACAGGAAGTCAGAGTAGAGAGATCAGGAGAGAAGGGCACTCACCTCCAGGACAGGATGGTCTGCTCTTGAACAGGGGTCCAGACCACCACCTGTACTTTGGCCCCACCCACTGTGAAGGCTGCCAGTGCCCCCACCTATGGCTCTCTTTCTCTTCCCAGCACTGCCAAGCTCCTTGCCCTAATCTGTGGCTTCCTCCTCTGTCCTTCACTTCAGCAACCTGGGCAGAATCTCTTCAGCATGGGAGGAGTCTAGGGGCTAAGTTCTGGGGCTGGGGCTTCAGTTTTTCTGGGGGACTGCAGGCAACTATTATCTGCCAGTCTGCAGACAGCAGTCTCCAGGCCCGATGGCCACAGGACACTGTTTTCAACCATGATTAAGCTAAGAGAGGGGCCTAAGTGTCTCCCTGATATCTCTGCCTCCTGTGGGACAAGGTGCCCTGAGTGTGACTTGGTGACATCAAAGGACCAACTCCTACTGCCAGAACAGAACAGTTCTCCACACCAGTTCTCATGAATTGTCCTACACATGGACCCTGTTGGTCTTTATTCACAACATCCAGAGAACCTGAAAAAAGCAAAAGCCATACTGTCCCTCCTGGGGAAGCTCCTCAGCAGCTCCTCAGACCAGAATATCTCAATGCATAAATAGCTTCAGTATTTCTCTACCAAACTAAAGACAGAATAAGCTTCAAAGGAGGCGAGGACAACTGCAACAGGAAACACTCTGATCAAAAAGACCACAACACTCAGGGGAAAGGAATTGTCATTCAGATGGGGAAGTTAAAGGCTAGAAAGCAACAAGAGCTTAATGGTCCAAGGGGGCATCAGAGCAGAACAGAAAAGCTTGCTTCTCCCCAGTGTCTGTGGGAAGCTTGAACATATGTCTGGTCAAGCAGTGGGCATTTCTCTGGATGTAGTCACATGGACATAGTTAAGCTAATCACTTGAAATAAAAATGGAGATTTGCAGTTCTGTATATGGCCTGCTGTTAGATAAATAAAGGAGACTCCTCTCAAGTTGAGTTCCACTTGTCCTGGAGGAAGGGTAGCCCATTGCAGTGAGCCCTTCTGGGACATAAGGCTTTCAGCGATGGCTCGGCTGTCACTATCCCCAGCAACATGAGCTTACCTCTCACATGCAGGGCTCACATCCTTTCTCCCAGAAGCCTTCACAGTCACTCCTGGAGCGGCTGCTCTGGGTCACATCCAGCTGTGGGATCACTGCAGGGGCTGCAGCTGGCCCTGCCCAAGGTAAAATCTCAATCACCCCAACTGACCCAGCACCTTTGTTGGGTGGGGTCAAAACTCAGCAAGTACGAGAACTGGTATCCTGCTCACAAGGCAGGAATCTCTGGACCATGACTGGAAGACACATTTCTGAGTGCATGGGATCAAGGTGCAGAGATCCAAGGAAATTTCAGAATCTCAAGTTTGGGGAGTAGAATCAAATTTGGTTTCTGACTGGAAAACAGAACAGGTCCCCAGTCCTCAATGAGGTGACTCTCCTTAGGAGCACAAGTGTCTCTCTTAGAGCACATTGGCCAAGCAATGGTCGTGACTCATCCACATGGCTGACACTGAAAACGGTTCTACAATCTGAGGTACAGGATCTCAGGATAAATCCTGAGGGGATTTCACTGACCTTATCAGACCCAAAAGCTACAACTCTTCTTGCATAGGTCCTGCTTTACCTTGGTCTTAACCATCCAGCAGAAAAGTATAAAAACAAAATATAAGAAGTAAAGCCATGCTGTTATGTTGAGCTATAGGGGACTCAGGTCAACAATTTCTGACATTGCCAGTCAAGCGGAAGACCCAATACTATTATGGGCTACTGGACTCTTTTAGAATATTTTGCTGAGTTTACACACCTATAATATTCAAATAATGGAACTTAACAAAAAAGGGGATACAGATGAATGTCCATTTTGTATCTGTGTATTCAAAGTGGTTAGGATAGATATATAGTTACATTCTCTTAATGAATAGAGGGATTTGTTCTAATGGTGTTTGTAAATAGGATATCATGTCTGCATCTTGTACAGCAATTAACCAATAGGAAGACAGTATGCAATGTGTTAATTATTGAAACTGTCCTACCAATTTGATTTGAAACTGTCTCATTGCTATTTGTTTCTCAATACAATTATGAAAAAAAAAACAAACAAGTGTCTCTTATACCTCCTTCCCAGCCTGAGGAGCACCCACCATGGCCTCCCTCACAGTGTGTCCACTGCCCTGCACAGGGACTCTGCAGCATCACAAGGCAGGGCCATATGGTGCCTCTCATCTCTGCACACACCGTCAGGATGACTGGCCTCCACACTGGTGACTCAATCCCTTCCACGTTCGTCCATCTGCCTGAAACTGCACCACCTACCCTGGCACCCCTCTGTGGCCCAGAGGCCCAGAAGCAGATCTCAGGACTTCTCAACCCTAGGAGGTCAGGCTGCTTTGAGTCAATTAAAACCCCGTCCATCCATGCCTACTGGTGCACACTTCCAACCCTAGCTATTCAGGAGATTGAGAAAGGAGAAGCATACATTCCAGCCCACACCTGGGCAACTTAACAAGACCCTGTCTCAAAAAATAAAAAGGGCTGAGGATGGAGCTGAGGATGAAGGCTGCCAGAAAAGAACAAAGGAATGCAGGTATATTTTTTTGCTCTTCAGTGCCTCCTGCATTACCACACTTCTTTCTTGAACAGTTTTCTGCCTGAAGACCCCTGTAGTTTGTGCTGGTGCATGTTCCCAGTAAAATTCCCTCAACAGCTCATGGGGGCATGTTGTCTGTACCTCAGAAGGCGGCCTCTGGTGGGCACAGAGCACAAAGATGCCTTTCTCCAGCAGAGGGGCTTGCTGCTCTCCGTCTTCTCACTGAGCTTACCATCAGGCCACTGCCTCTGTTGCAAATGTGGTGGTGTGGCTCTGGCTTTTGCAAGGTGATCTCACAGCAGTGCTCCCCAGCACATCATGGTGTAGCTCAACTGCACTCTCCAGCGCACTGCCCACTATAGTTAAGTGCTATCTTTAGCTCCTACAAGATATTTCTAGCCATAATCGAAACATTGCTTTCTTTTTTCCTTGATTTTTGGAGATAGAGTCTTGCTATACAGTTCAGGTTGGTCTTGAACTCACTACATAACCCAGGCTGCCTTCAAACTCATAGTGGTCCTCCTGCTTCAGCCTTACAGAGTGCAGGGACTACTGGCATGTGCCACAACACCCAGCATCAAATGCTCTTTTGAGGGCAAGGTCTTAGACAGAGTCCCAGTGCTCTCTTAAAAACACTTTGTTCCAGGACAAGACTAGCCCATTTTAGGTTCACTGCTAGTTTCTTACCGGGGACAAAAATAGGTGTGGCTTCACCTCCTGAAGGGCCATCCCAACTCTAGGCCTAGTGTGGCCACACTGGCGCTACCACACCTGTTCATGCCTCTGTGGTAGTGCCTACTCCCTTACTCTCTCTTCGGCCTGCAACACATGGTAGCTGTTTCCCAGCTCCCTCTCCACATCCTGTGAGCCAAATCTAAACGTTCCCATGAGCCTGATGTTATACACTGCACCAACCCACACTGCAGCCCTGCATGGGATGAGACCAGTGTCATCACCCAAGGTCATACCTGTACTCAGAGCTGGGTTCTCCCACCCATGGGCCAGGTACTCAGGCACAGTGGGCACACATGTGCTTCTCATATTGCAGACTTTTTCTTCCCACTGTGCTGGAGCTGTGGGTGACCAGGAACAGCTAGCTGCTTACAATAAGAGGATAACAGACTGGCTGCCCTTGCCTCACCCAGCATGCCACACATGGGGGACAGTGGTGAAGCCATGGAGGCTGAGACCACAGGTCACAGGGCAGTCCATGTCTGGGTCATACACGGCCCACAGGGATACACTCCAATCACTGCCTTGCTGGCTAAGCCACTTGGCCAGGGGCAAGGTTTAGATCAGGAAGCCTTGTCTTCCAAGAGCTCTAAAGCCACAACAGCCTCTCATATTTCCTGTGTTCCCTACCCTAACTCATCCTGGGCTCTTTCCTCTGGCCAACTGCTCACTGTGAATGCTTTTGGAATTTCTGCTCTCTTTACAGAGGAGCTTGGCACCGCAGGAACAACCTGAGAACTACTTTGGTCACATGTTCCTAAGACATCAGGAGAAACTGCTATATCCTAAGCACCCAGCAGAGAACTTGTGACACCCCACCCTCCTGGGGTCTGTTGAGCATGGTACAGGCAACAAAAGAGAGCCTACTAATGTGTGACTCTAATGTGTGCCACAGGCCAATATGTCATTGTCAACATAGAGAAGCAGAGCTGCACAGAAACAATGGTTCCTGTCCAGGATGAGGCAAGGACACTGGCCCACAGGACCTTCCACAACCTCATGCTGCCATCAGCTCCAGACAGACTCCAAATTGAAGTGCTGACCTTGACTTCTAAGAATCAGCTCACCTGTAGAGACCACACAGGTGCCCAGGGCTAAGACACCAAAGGTGAGAAGGGATCAGGAGCTCTGAGAAGCCCTGTGTATGATCTGAACTGGTTAGGGTGGGTGGGTGGGGAGGAAGGGGCAGGATAGGAGGACAGGAGGGTTGCAGGACAATGCAAACCTAAGAGAACACAGCACTACTGCTGGGCTTTGCTCCTCCCCAACTTGGTCTTGAAAGCACCCGACCCCTATGCAGTGATCTGTCAGGAGCAGTCTGATCAAGGCAAGAGCAGCTTGGGCCTGGTGAGAAACACAAGTTCAACCTGGGCAACTTAGCAACTTTGGGTGTATCTCAATCCCCAGTCCTGAAAAAAAAAAAAAAAAAAAAAAAATCCAAATTGAAAATGAGAAAGTAGTAGTGGTGTAGCTCAGGGCAAAGACCCTAGATTCAATCCCCAGAACTAAGCAAAAAGAAAACAAAAACCTAACAGTTTTCCTGATGCCTGGACCTTCAACTTGGGGCTTCTGTCCTCTACAGAGTACCCATGGACCAGGGAGATGCAACGGATGTTACAGTAACAGATGTTAAGTATCAAAAGATAAGAAACACACCATGTTACAGACCCAACAGTACACATTAAGAGATAAGAGTAAAATTGTAAAAAGCCTCTTGAACACACAGGAAAAAGGCATGCTTTAGCAATATGAAATGACATTATAAACACATAAAAAGAACCCACCAGTATCAGGCTTGTAAAACAATTACTGAAATGAAAACACAATAGAGGAAATAAGTACCAAAACAGTCAGAGCTGAGGAACAGATTAGCAAACTAAAAGAGCAGAGTCAGAGAATGTCAACACAATGTAAAGAAATCAGAAAACAAGATATATAAACAGAAGTGGGTGTGCTAACATCTAAGTAACAAGAACCCTATAATAAGAAACTTCCAAAATGAAAAAGACAAAAAATATTGACAACGAGAGAAATTTCCCAGAATGTAAAGTAGGTTAAACAGAGCCGAGTAGAGGGGAGGTACAAAGGGGGTTAGGGTGTGGATACAGCTTGCTGCTGAGTGCCTCTCTGTTCCCAGGAAAGTGACACCTGGGGTGATTTCAGCAAGTCTTCTGGGCACTGAAGCCCTCAGGTCTATAAGCAGTCAAAGTTTGGAAAACAGGTCCCAGAAAACCAGTGATTCTGAATGTCCAGTCCAGACTTCTCTTCCCATGCCGAAGGGAGCTTAGCTCTCTTATTTCTAGGAACCCTTCAGGAAACAGGAGCCAGGTAACAGCTTCTCACTAGTTAAGATTTTCTTGAATTTTATTATCAAATCTCTACTACTCAAACAATGAACAAAAAATGAGAAAACATTTGGGAAATGTATCACTGGAGTCAGGATGACAGCGGTTAAAAATATGGCCCATGGAACTGCAGTCTCAGCTCTACTGCCGATTAGCAGTGATCCTGGGGGAGGTACCTCACTTTTGCCACTTCAGTCTCCCCATTCATAAACCCAGGTGACAGTATCTACCTCATACAGTTATAGTTGAACTAATATTTGAAAAACACTCAAAGCCTAGCTCACAGTAAGTGCTATGCTTATTAAAAAAAAAAAAATTAACTGGGTTAATTTCTCCATGAATCTATTAGATCCTTATCCCTACACACTTTTTTAGATTTGCTACAGTAGATAGGGACACACAATTCTGTCCTTTTCATTCCTTCATGTATACTGATTGTGTCCAAAACACTGTATAATTTCTACTGACCACCTAGAAATTAGACTTCCAGCAATGCAGTAATAAGCACACAAGACAATGACACTCTGGGTGATTGTCACCTCTGTGCCAACATCATCAGCCTCAGACTTCCACAGAATTTTCCACCATCAGAAATCTCACTAATTGTTTCCTAAGGTTAATCTTGATCAAGAGTAGATACCCCATTCAATGCTATACTATTTTTTCTTAAATTCATAGTGTTATTTACTCTAGCACCTAGCCCCTCCTCTTGTAATAGTATATTTTATCTGAATTTCTAAAATTATGCACAAAATGTGAAAGTCTCCATCGAGTTCTCTGGCTTGATGAAAAACTATTACAAGTAACACAACATTCTTGGCATACGGTTTTCCCGTAGTGACACACACTGTACTGATCTACCTATAAAATCTTTTAAGTGTGCTGAAAAAGTAATCACCTCATGCCCAAGTCATGTTACTTAGGTAGGGGTTCCTACACACCACAGGGGGTGTTTAATTTTCTTCTCTAATTATCTGATGTTGAATGAGGACTATAAAACTGCTGTACACTTTTACCTATTGATTTTACTCCATTTCATATTGAATCATAAAGTCTCACTGAACTCTTAAACTTTTCCTCTTGCTTATATTGATATCTTCAATGTATTATCAAATTATAATAAAACTCTCTAATCAGTTCATGGGCAGTTTCCCCTCACTGTGACTCCTCTGGTGTTGAAGCAGGGCTGAGTGACCACTGAAGGCCCTTCCACAATCACTGCATATGAAGCGCTTCTGTCCGCTGTGCATTCTCTGATGAATAATAAGGGATGAGTTCTTACAGAAAGCCTTCTCACAATGATTACATTTGTAGGGTTTTTCTCCAGTATGGTTTCTTAGGTGCACAATAAGGGAAGAACTCTCATTAAATGCTTTCCCACATTCATTACACCTATATGGTTTCTCTCCAGTATGAGTTCTCCGATGAGCAATAAGATGAGAGCTACAGTTAAAAGATCTTTCACACTGATTACACTTATAGGGTTTCTCACCAGTGTGAATTCTCCTATGAGCAACTAGGTGGCAACTCTGACTGAAGGATTTCCCACATTTATTGCATTCATAGGGTTTCTCTCCAGTATGAGTCCTTTGATGCCTAACAAGGTGAGCCATCTGGCTACAAGACTTTCCACATTTATTACATTCATAGGGTTTAATTCCAGAATGAATAATTTCATGTTTGGTGAGGGCTGAGCGTTCTCTGAATGCTTTGCCACATTCCTGGCAGTTATAAGGTTTTTCTCCTGTGTGAGTTCTCTGGTGAGCAATGAGATGGGAGCTCCAGCTGAAGGATTTTCCACATTCTGTACACTTATAGGGCTTTGCTCCAGAATGAGTCCTTTCATGTTTACTAAGAGCAGAGTAATCCCGAAAAGCCTTTTCACATTCATCACATTTAAAGGGTTTCTCTCCTGTGTGCATTCTCATGTGAGCAATGAGATGGGAACTCCAGCTGAATGACTTCCCACATTCCCTACATTCAAATGGTTTCTCTCCAGTATGAGTTCTCTGGTGTCCAATGAGATGGGAGTTCCAATTAAATGATTTCCCACACTCATTACATACATAAGGCTTTTCTCCTGTATGAATTCTCTTGTGTACAATCAGATGAGAATTCCAGCTGAAGGCTTTCCCACATTTATTACATTCATAAGGTTTTATTCCAGTGTGAGTCCGTTCGTGTTTGGTAAGGGCTGAACGGTTCCTAAAAACTTTTCCACATTTATCACACTCATAGGGTTTCTCGCCAGCGTGAGTGTTCTTATGTTGAATAAGATAAGAGCTCCAGATGAAAGATGTTCCACATTCATTATATTCATAGGGTTTCTCTGTGGTGTACGTACTTGTGTGTTGAGTAAGGAAAGAGTCATATCCAAAGACTTTCTCCCACTCATTATATTTATATGCTTTCTCTACAGGACCAATTTTTTGATGTTCCATAAAGGATGAGAAGTAAAAGATATTTTCATATTCTTTGTAATCATACTGGTTTTCTCCAATACGAAGTCTTGGATGTTCATTAAATGATGGGCTCTGATTAAAAATTTGATGGTATTCCTTATATTCATATAGTTTTTCTCCTGTGTATATTCCTTTCTGATCACCAAACTGCATGACATCATTGAAGGACTTCATACCATCAGTACATCTGAAAATATCTCCAGTCTGTATTCTTATAGGATGAACAGGTTGGATGGACTGGTTATATGCTTTGTCACAATTATTATTGTCACAGGTAATTTTATCTGCATACATTATGGCCGAGTTGAATCCCCAACTTTCAGCCTGTGTGTCAGGTTTATAAAAATGTTCTAATTGGGAAGCTTTCTGGGATGGAACAAAGTTTAAACTCTCACTATATTCTGCCCCAAGTTCACAGTATTCAGAACCTCTTTGAGACAGTATGTGTTTTTGCATGAAGAACATTTGCCTCATAGCTGTACTCTGGTTCATGTGGTACATTTCTAATTGGTCTTTATATCCCCAAACTCCTAATCTGGAAAACCAAGAATCATCCCATAGGCATCTTCCCAACTTCATGCCAAGGGGTTGTTCTTCCTCAAAAATACTCTGTGTTGAGATCAGTGCTTTGCTTTCAAGATTTCTCATCCACTCTGAAACAAGACAAAAACAGCTATATGAGCACAAAGACGTCAAGAAAGAACAGGAATGATGAGATTTACTTCCCATATTACTAAAAAGGCAAGAACAAATTTTATTCAAGCACATACTTAGGAGGCAGAGAATATCATAAAAAAGGGCAAGTGAACTACAGACAACCAGAATATAAAATGTGTACCAAGTATGAATAAAACCACTGAAGAGTACTTTCCCATCAAAAGAATGGTGGGGAGTAAAGGGTTAACTACAAAGGACTGAGTTGCTCTACCTTTACAAATTACCACCCCAGTCTATTTCAAAACTGACCCTCAGCCAATGTCTAAGAATTGATACCTTTAAATGTTCTAACTAGTAAGACAGCTTTGTATGCCCAAAGCCTTAAACTACACTACCGATTTCTCTAGATAGTTTATGTATACAATGCCATCCATTTACAGTGAACATGTGCTTTCCTTTTGAGGGATTCAGTGATCCAAGTCAAACATATAAGCACTGTGAGCCTGAGTCACAAGCCCCATGAACACCCTGGTCTCCTGGGCTCAAGCAGGTTTCCTAGTGGACAACTTAAGGCACGATGTCCCAAGTCCTTCCTGAGGGAACTAGCTGTGTCCACTGGGAAAACAGAGATTAGTGCCTTGTTTCCCCTGGACTGACCTTGTGCACCTGCCCTTCACTGATATTGTGCAATATCCTTTCACTGTAATGACCTATAGTATTAAGCTCACCTGATCCTGTGATAATGTCTCCCTAGCAAGTCACTGAACCCAGGACAGTGAAGATCCCTGACAAAAGGATACAGTGAGTGTCATTAAGGTAAAAAGTAAGAAATAACTGTTAACAGGAAGCCCTCAGTGAGTAATGTTGAAATCAATGAACAGTGAGCTAATTCACTTCTGGTTTATGTCTTCTCACTTTTCATCTGGACACCTGCCTGAAAAAGGAAAGGGTAGGGATGAGAGGAAGCATCACCAACCAAGACTTCAGCTCAGGATGTTATCTACAACATAATGCTGTTATATTATTTCCTATTCTATACAGTTCTGTCAAGGGCACAAGCCCTGCCAGCTCAAAAGGTAACAGATCACTACAGTTTAGGGATATTCTTGAGATTACATTTCTGTTGAAGTTCTCCTACAGAATCTTTTTTTTTTTTTTTTTTTTTTAAAGCAGAGTCTTGCCAGTTATGGTGGCACATGCCTAAAATCCCAACACTTGGGAGGCCTAAGCAGGAGGATTTTTGCAGCCAGTCTGGTCTACATAGTTAGTTCAAGGAATTCTTGACTACATAGTGAGACCCTACAAACAAACAAACAAATTAATTAATAAATAAAACAAGGTCTTTCTAAGTCACTAAATTGGGCAAACTGTGCCTGGATTTGCAATCCTCTCACCTCAACCTCCTGGAATTACCAGTATGTGCCACCACACCCAGTTCAGAATCACTTTATACCAATTATACAACAAACGGACTGGAAGCCAGGCATCATAACACACACCTGTAAAGGCACAACACTATGAGGTTGAAACAGAAGGATCACAAGTCCAAATGTAGCTTAGGCAACTTAGTGAGACTCTATCTCAAAATTTAAAAAACAAAAAGGGCTGAAGATATAGCTTAGTGTGAAAGCCCTGGTTTCAATCCCCAGTGCTAAAAAAAAAAAAGGTCAGTCATACAATTGTATACACTAAAATGCTGTCTTTGCCATTATTCTAAGTATACTTTTCTCATGATTGAATGAGACCCTGAAAACGTGTGTGTGTATGTGTGTATGAGAGAGAGAGAGAGAGAGAGAGAGAGAGAGAGAGAGAGAGAGAGAGAGAGAGATTATTATTGAGCTATCTATCTTCCAACAACTGAAAGAATGTACTAGCTTCCTATGCTATTGTGACAAATTGCCATATTATCTGGGAGTCAAAAACCTAAAAGGGCTTTTGCTGGTCTACAAAGAAGCTGTCAGAAAAGTGTACACTCTCCAGAGAATACAGGGGAAATCTGTCCCTTGTATTTCTTGCACTCTCTGGCTGACTGCTCTTTCCTCCCTCCTCAGGACATATCACTCAGCTTCAGACTTCATCACCATCACTGTCTGTCTCTCTTTACTGCCTCACTCTTACAAGGACCTTGTGGATACACTTAGAATCTACCCAGATAAGCCAGGATCCTCTTTTCACCTCAAGTTCTTTATTTTACATTTGAAAACCTCCATCTGCCATATAAGGTGCCATTTTCATAAACTGAAGACTAGGATGTAGATGTCTAGTGAAAGAGGATTGTTTAGCCTCCCACAGGTCTAAAGCTCCAGGTACCAACCAGGAACACTTTGTTCTCTATCTGTACTTTCTGTACTTTCTGTAGATTCACTGTGTGACATTTTCCCCCTTTCATCATCTAAGCCCAAATAACAAAGTTCTACTCTATTCAAAAATTGGCACTTATTACAAAATTTAAACTTAGCTCCCAAGAGTTAGTAAACAATCCAATGTAGCTTCCAAGAGACAGTTAAGATGTTAGTTGACTGACTGCCCAAAAGAAAGGCTGAATGAACCATGATTGCACAATTTCATACTTTACATGAGTCATACTGAGTGTCTAAAACCACAGACAAGACAAAAAAGCACAGTTTCTTTCTCCAGGAAATCAAAGTTTATGTGATAAGAGAACAGGCCAAGCAGTAGTCATCAAGAGACTGAAATGTGGATGCCAGAAGACAGAAGCTTGAATAGCAATCAGCATGGTCAGAAGCAATCAGAGGTTCACATACAAGATGTGACATTGGCTGAGTGAATGGCAGGAGCCAGTTACAAAATGAGTAAATAGGAAAAAAAATGCAATCTTGAAATCTGGCTTTATTTAAAAAGCAACTAGACCCACTGTAGGTTTACTGATAGCGATCTCAAATGGAAGATTTCAGGTATACAAATAACATCCAATGTGCCAATAACAAGTGATAATTTCCTCATAATGCTGAGATTGAATCTTACGATCTAATGGTGATGCTGGTGAAAGCTGAACACCATAGTCAATGCTCAAGAGAAAGGATATCTTAGGAGTTCAAGAAAAGATCACTTCTTTACTGAAAATTAGAAGGCAGTGCAGAAAACCTCTTAATCTGCAATGGAGAGACTGGCAGAGCTAGTACCAGGGTCACAGCTCAGGGAAACAAGGAAGCATCCATGAGTAAGAAGCAAGGTTCCTGGTTCTTTCTACTGACATTAAAACAATGGAAAAGTTTCACAAAAGTACAGAAGTAAAGGGAACCACAGGGCTCAGGGTGGTGACAGAGTGATCAGCACAGGGGACAAGAAGACTGAAGCTACTAAATTCGCAAGCTCTCAGAGAAAGTTGCAGATCTGGACAGGGGACAACAGGAAGGATACTTCCCCAAAGCCATTCACTAGAGTAAGTATAGAGACTTCCTTCTTCAGGACTCAAGATGTGGTATAATGTCAGGCCGAAAGCCACAGGAAGCTGGGCATTGTGCACGGGCTTGTCATCTCATCTGCTTAGAAGGCTGAAGTAGGGTCATAAGTTGAAGGCCAGTATGGTGACCTTTTATCAAAATAAAATAGTGCTAGGGATGTTCATAAGTGGTAGAGGACTTGCTTAGCATACACAAAGCCCTGCGTTAAATTCCCAGTAGAGCAAAATTTAAAAAACAAGGTATACAGTATGCACAGTATGCTGATGGGAGCCACTAATGCTGGAAGGCAATCATGCATGCAGGACAAAGCCAGCCCAAGAACACGGGAGCTACTCAAAGCATGTAAACAATCCATTGCAGCCTGTTAACTTATTGCTGTGTAGAAAGGTTAAATTAATATTCACCTCTTGAGGGTATAAATAAATGCTCTACCCATCTTGGACAGTTCCTGTCCTCAGCTTAGGAGAGGGATAATCTCCACCTGACCTTACTATTATCTCTTATCTATCTTTTCCTCATTCTCATCACAGTTCCTACCCAGGATAAACCTAGAGCCAACAAGTCCCTAGAGTATGCCACTTTTAAAAAGCGAAAAGTAGATACAAATTCATGTGTTCTTGTAGATGCCTAAAGAAATACTGTGAATGCATAAAAGAAATTGCTAACTATGATTATCTGTGGTTGGAAGGCACTACAAATGGCAAAGAAACCAAACAATTTCATTCCCCCATCATAGCAATTGAAAAACTGCCAAAATTGTCAGAATCAATTTTTCAGGCATTCTGTAATCATTTAACTTGGGAATGACAAACAAAAAAAAACTGGATTTCAGTAAAGACAGTGAGCTCTTCGGTGTCTTAATAATGTATCCTAGACCTACTGCCATTTCCCCAGCTAATTTAATTAGTAAACCTTTTTTAAAAAAGTAGCAGCCCACACATTTCTGTAGAGGGAAGATCAGAGCTGAGGTTTTCTCAAAGCCTCAGTTCCAAGTAACAGTCATCCCCGGACCTGCCTGGGGTTCCAAAGGGCAGGCAAGGTCTCTTGGGTTACCTGGCAGGAAACTCTCACAGTGCTAAGGCCTCCAGAGAGCAGAATCCTGTCAAACATTACAAGCAATGCTTCAGAGTCACTGCTGCCAGAGCAATGCCAAACAGCACCCTCATCCAAAAGAGGACAAACCCAAGTAACAAGACATCCATGGTACTTTGCAAAACTGTGGCCCAGGGGGCCACCACCACATAATTTCACTGTAAAAAGTCCAACGTAGTACTAAAAATAGAAAGACACATGTAACAACTCACACACAGGAGTCCTCCATAGATACCAGCTTATTCATCAGAAACCTGTGAGGCCAGAAGGAAAAATTGCCAACTAAAATTTTATGTTCAGCAATATCACCCTTAAAAAAGAAAGGAGAATCAAAGAGCTCCCAGATGAACAAGAGACCTAAAAGTTTACTGCTAACCCATCTAACTCACAGAAATGCGAAAGGCAGTCCTTGGGCTGAAAGAAAGAACACCAGTAGTACTCAAAATAAAAGCACCAATAAAAGATATCATACAGACAGTATAATGAGGTAACATAAATGCAACATAAATTTCTGTTCCTAAATCTTCTGACCTGACTTAAAGATAATAATATAAGGCAATAATCATAAATTTGTGTTGGCCACTGTATAAAGATGTAATTTACAACAATATTAGCATAAAAAGAGGATAGCTATATAAAGGCAAAGTCTCTGAGGGCCAGCGAGATAGCTCAGCAGACTAAGCACCTACTTAGGCAAGCACAGAGATCAGGGTTTAATCCTGGGCACCATGTGCCACACTGGCCCCACCCCTGGACACACTGAGCCAGCCACTGAGACTGGGCATGGTGGCACACACCTGTAATCCCAGCACTAGGGAGGCTGACAACAAAAGGATCACTATGAGTCCAAGCTGCATAGTAAGACCCTGCACCAAATACATTAAAAAAAAGCAGTCTCTAAATACTACCAAAATTAAACTGGTATTAGTCCAATAAGATTATTATAAATTGAGTTATTAGCAAGGCATGGTGGCACACACTAGTAATGTCAGTGCTTAAGAGGTAAGTCAGGAACATAATGAGTTTGAAACCAGCCAGGGCTATATACCATATATGAAGCCAGCCTTGGACTACATACTAAGACCCTATCTACTAAAAGAAAACTCTACTAAACAAATAAAATTGGAATTTTAATTGTAATTCCCTGGATAAGCATTATGGAAATAACTAAAAAATGTACAGTATGGGAAAAAGATTAGCAGAGATAGTGGTGCATGCCTGGAACATCCTGGGAGGTTGAAGCAGGTGGAATACAACCACTGCCTTAGCCAAACTATGTCCGAAAAGTTAATCAATTAATTAATTAATTTAAAGTGTTGGGGATCCAGCACATTTAAGGCTCTGGATTCAATACTCAGTAGTAGAAAAAATAAATGAATGAATGAATGACAAGACAGGCAGGCAGACCCATGCATAAGACTGTGTATTGGCAAGTTAAAAGTACTTTGGATAAGGAGATAAAAAAGAATTTTTTTTTCCAGCATGAACATTTCATAGTTTTGAG